AGCTTGCTTAAAATTTTTTTCCAACTATTTAAGTTGGTCACATGCTTTTTTTCACTCTGTCTTGGCTTCCACAATTGGGTTCTCTCGTTTTTCCCCTTCTACTAGCTAAACTCCTCTAAAGTAGCTCCTTATCCTTCTATTAAGTAGCTTTCTCAATCTTTGTACTTACAGAACCTCTTCCTTTCCCAGTATTATGACTACTACCTTATGCAGATCTACAAGTCCTCAAACTTGTTTCCTCTGTCTAGTTAACTGCACCTCCCATTCAATTTAACCATCTCATATTTAATAAGCCAGGCTCAGTAAAGTTGCACCCACATATTGCGACATTACAACATGTGCTTTTTGTAGACTTTTTGTTTTAAAATCCAGAATCTCAGGAAGATTTACAGCTACTACCTAATGATTAAATCATGATCAAGACAAATGTGGATGGGCATCTCATTGTATAAATGAGATGGCAAAAACCTTTTTGAAAGAAAAACTACATTAAAACTAGTTAAATGTCAAAGGAAACACGGAAAAGGCTAATCACTGACAAGTGAATGGGCTGGATAGAATTTCAAGACCCATGACAACTTGAAGAAATAGAATACAGGTAGCTGTGGTCTCTACATTGTAATACAAAATATGAATGATAGAGGGAAAAATGCATGAAGGCATCATGCAAGTAACTGTTTTCCGAGGAAGTCAAGGTTCCTAGCAGACACCGCCTACAGTGGATATCTGCAGAAGCCAGTACTGAAGCAGAATAGCCTTTTTTCTGTAATGCAACTATATGTTTACAGTACTTTGAAGTGATTTTGTTAAAAGCTTGCAACAATTTGTTCTTCCAGCTCTCATGATGCTCAGACCTATCTGCCAAAATTGCTAAGTTCTAACAATACTAACAGGGTATGAGCTAGAACTCAAACCATTTAATGATGCCTCCACATCTAATTTTACACCATCTCTCCATGGTAGAAACTGGTTTATATTTAATAATGATTGTGCTACCCTATGCTACATTTTATACTAATCAGAATATACTCATTGGGATACAATGTTCATTGCTGTAATCAAATCAGAGTACAGATCCTAAAATATCATGGACATTTGGCAAAAATCTAATACCATGTTTTCCCGTAGATCTTCATTCTGTGTCATCTGAATAATTGTCTGAAAGAGTCTAGGATGATGCTGTATTAAAACTTCACAAGTCTCTCCATACCCACCCTGCAAGAAAGCATTTTAAAACAATTATTAATTTATGTAGCACCCTTTCCAACAAAGGCTCAGGGCCTTTAAAACAGGAATGGCCAACTTGCAGAATGTGTTGCATTAGTGACACACAACAGATCAAAGAAGCTCAGAACACAGTAACAAATAGGGTAGGAAGCAGAGCAACAGATCTGGCATGGAAAGGGTATCTGCAGGGCCTGTGGAAAGGATGTGAGGTTTAATTTGTGGCATACCTACCCAAAAGATTAGCCCCCACTGCATTAAAAAGAGTGGCCTGGAAGTTAATGTTTCAGAGGTACCATAAAATAAAAGGATCAGCAGCTGATAAAGTTCTGTTGAAAACGTTCCATCAGGGAAAGCATATTAGTCTAAAGTAAAGGAAAAAATGAATTACTCTTATCTAGAGGCCCTTACGTCTTTACTGTTTTAGCAGTTTCACACAAATGCCTGAGAGAATTTGTTATAACTAGACAATGTAAGCCATTGTATGAATAAATGTGGCCTTCAAAAGGGCACTTAGGGTCTTGGAAAAAATAGAGCAACCATAATCTTTCAAACAGTTATTTTGTTTTAGAAGAAGCTTCAATCTTTGGTAGGCATTCACATTAAGAAGAATGCCTTGGCTGCTATCCATTGTTGTAATTATGGGGGGAGGAGGGGAGGAGAGCAGAAATTATTCTAAATACATACTAAACAGAAATAGGGAAAGCTGTGCTAAACTGAACTACCTCAAGAAATAAAACCCATGTGGATGGACTTATATAATATTTAAAAGGACAAGAAGCTAGAGGAATAAGAAAAAACTGC